TCGTTCCCATGGGGTCGAACTGAGTCGGAATTGTTTTTTGAACCACATCGTATAGCGGTTACATCGCGATGAGCGATGGCAGCCGGATCATAATTTCCTTTGCGTGGAGATAACGTCGCGTCGTCATCGTTTCAGAAAGCGACCTGCAGGCTCCCGCGATAAAAGCTCCATTTTCCGTCGTGCTTGACTCCGGTGGAAATGTATTGATGTTGATGGAGTAATTTCGGAACGGTGCGATGGGCAGATTCTTCGAAGTCCGAGCATTGGAGCTGTTTAAGCGCTTTTACGGCTCATCGACGCGGGGCGCAGGTGATACGATTCGTATTTGATAGGGGGCAATTTTGAATTTCGGTAGACTTTCGATGCTTGTCTCCCCCGTACCAAGGTCGAGAATGTCCATCATTTGTGTCATTGATTTGGAAATGTCGTCCTTCATTATCATGTTTTCCCGCGATCGTCCACAGAAAGAGACTCAGACGGCATTTCCCACAGCGGAATCAACTTGTTCACATGACAGCTTAATTCTCGACTAGCTGAATTACCGCTGTCGTTCGTGGACTGAACTGAGAACTTGACTACCTTCCGACTCTCGTTCCGATTCCATTCCACAATGAATTCGAACTCATGCAACGAGCCTGACTTGGTCTGGAGGCTCGATATTTTTCTGGAAAAATTACCGATTTGGAAAGCGTCAACTCTTCTGTGGTGCGTGTTCGCGTGATACGAGGCTTTCGCCATGCAACTCCTCCGACGGAGAGAGTCTCTTCGGAGGGAATCCATAAAGCTGACGCGAAAGAACGATTTTTCTGAATCTATCCCCGAAGCACTCATCTTTCCCGAGTACTAACTCACAAGAAAACATCGCTCACCGAAACGCGCCCTAATGATTCCATCAATGTCACTGGAAGTGAGCTTCGCTCCTCCATTTGTTCACTCATTCTACGCGCAGACGATGAATCGAGTCATTCATGTATAAATATTCTCTTTGAAGAGGTTCAGCAGAGTGCGCAGTTGTTTGGGCTGTCGACTACGAAGACAAAGTGCGATGTTTTACGGTAGGGCATCACACGGCTCTCATTCGAAGGAGCACGTGAATCGGACGGGGAAGTAGGTGCGGCGATCATCGACCTGCATTTTCAATGAGCACAGAAAGGGCCATGGAAGCCCCGTGATGGACATTGTTCCCCTTTAACTCGGTTTCTGATTGTGGCTGTGGCGAGACTGAGTCGATTCTCCCCTTTCCCTCATTTCCCTGAGAACGCGCAGATCATGCGGAGCAAGATAGATAGGCTGTTTCAATTGGGGGGTGGGCAGGATCGCGTAAAAAAAGAGGACCAAAAGCAATGATCTGAAGGAGAGTAGCTGACGACGGGACCCGATGGAAGCTCCTGCTGGCTCCATCTCTCTCGCTTTTCCTAAAGATGCGGTAATGCGTTCCGAAAATACGAGCTCGACGCCGCGATGCGATCGCTTCAGGTATCGAAAGGCTCGAGTGAATAAATTTCAATAAAACTTGGCCGCAGAATAAATCCGATGGGGGCCTCTCCCCTTTCTGAGGCCGTGGTTAAGTGTGGCTGGCTTCGAGCTTGACGGGTTTGTTGCTCGGGGCTGCCTCTACTTCATCAGCACCTTTCGATTGACGGTGGCTCGACAACTACACCGAACGACCTGAGAACTTTTCCTATCTTTTTGTATCTGCCTTCGCTACATTCCGTCTCGTCATGAGCTCGGTCGGACGTTTCGCGTCGGTCAGAATTCTCTCTGCTCCTCTCACGATCTACCGGAGGCTTGTTGTGTTTGTGACTCTTTTTTGTTCCTTCGATGTGTGTGTGTTTGCGTTTATCACAGAAGTAGTGGAAATCCAAGAGATTGGCGCCGTAACCCTAGCGGTCTTTCGCTTTTCGGACCCGTGACGTTCTGCTTCTCGGAACCGAGACGTCCGGACTTATACATACCTCGGGCTAGGTTTACGTGCGACACTCCTCTTCCGTGGATCCGATCCCGTTCATTTCTATGGGGCCCACGTCGTCCGATCCTTCGTTGGCGATAAAATTCAATCGAAACTCGTGGACTTCTACCGTAGAGCTCCTGACCAGCAACTTTCTGCCTGCTTCTTGAAATAAAGTTTCCAATCTCGGAATAATGGTCCCCCGAGCATGGTATACGACACTGAGTTGTCCTGATGGCGCGAGAGATTCCCAAATCGAAGCAGGGAACAATCACAAATCCAAAGAGTATAATCACTCGATATGCCGTTTGGGAAACAAGGCGCGTGAAGATGCTTCCGCAGCCGCTCGGTTCCTCCGTGCAGCTCTTGAGAAAAACAGCTTAGGAGAGAAAATTCGCTTCGGTCTCTGGTCTCGGATAGCGAATGAACGGCCGGCGGGTTGGCGGGTGAGTGTTGTGTGCGGGTCTCGGGAGGCCGGACGGTCGAAGATTTTCTTATTTTTCAAAATGGTGGTTGTAGTTCGGGATGTTTGGACACGCCATAAAATGCCGCCGCGCGTAATGTTTCCGCGTCGCTGGCTCCCTGTCGTCCGTTAGACCTCAGGTGGCTCGACTCGACCCGACTCAGCTACTTTAATGTACCGACGTCGACAACGGAATCAACGGCAGGGCTCATTCGATGGGAAAATCCTCAAGCAGTCTTCTCCTGCGCTTCAATGGTACAGTGGTGAGATCCTATCTCGCCGGGCGGATCTCGCCGGAAACAATCGACACAAGCTTCCCGCGAATAAGGTTCGTCAAATTCGCGGTGACTTTTGCTGTAATCTGCGTGTTGAAACTGTCCGCGGTTCCGGGGGACACGAGTCATTCGGAGGGACATATGTCTGGATTGCCCGGTTGCCGTCGATTGAGTAATGCCCTTCAGGAACTCATAGAATTTACAACCGTGGGAGTTTTTTAACGGATCATGCGATCGTCCTAACATCGAGCGCGATGGATAGAGCATTGTTCCCTGTCGATGGAACCAAAAAAAGTCGGGTACCACTCGGATGGCGGATTAGCCGAATCTTTATCGAGATAAGTCATATCGCCGTGGGATATCCATTTTTCTCGACTGAGGATGTGTACGATATTTTCGTTTGGTGCTCTAGGCCATTTTGCTCGCAACGCTACGATTCCCGTTATCTCACTCATTCGTCTCCTCATCCATTCAACAAGCGATCAATTCATCGAGATCGATATCTTAAACGATCGTTCTGAGCAAGAAGATGACTTTGGCGGATCGATCACCGTGCTGCTGTCGAAGATCCGCCGGAACCCGCCGTTCCCCATAGATACCGTCAGTGTCTACGGAACCGCGCAAAGAACAATGGGAATGTTGCAAGCTTGTGGTTTCCTGGATTCTCCGGGGAGGAATTCGGTAGAATATCTTCGTTTCTTTGTTCGAACGGAGACGAGTTATCGCGTTTGTCCATAACACGCTCCTTCCATACGGGGCGATCGACGACGCGGTAAGTGCACGGGAGAACCTGTAGTGAATCAAGAAGTTGATGGACGCGATCACAGTGAAGATGTCTGGCTTGCGTGATCGGAGCCACGGTTTCAGATCTGGACGGTATAGCTCGTCTAACAAGCTTCATCATTGTGTCGGAACGAAGACTTCTGTGATTTCTCGGCGGTGTTCTAGGTGTGGTGATCTTCACGATGTCAGTCACTCAGTGTTTGTTGGCCGCCTGGTTGCTTGATTCTCCGGTTATTCGCTCGCCTGCTCGATCTTTCCTGTCGCTCGGCCATCGACTAACGCACTCGGACGCCCGTAACATCCTGCCGCGCATCTCGGATGCGTGTGGGGTCAAGAGACTCCTGGAACCAAGTGGAGTCGGAGCCGAAGCATTGGTGGAAAGCGGTAGCGAACGACTTATGACTGGCAGGCGTAATAGGTCTGAGCATTACAATTCGATTTGTTGTTAGCTCCACTCTTTCTTTTTTTCTCCTTTTTCTTCTCGGCTCCGGCGAGTTCTTGTGTCTCCGACAAGCTCACGAGTTGAGAAATGCCGCGTCGATGCATCCGTGAGGAGGCCACATTCATGCATGGATCCGATCCGGTAGGCGAGACGAGGAAAAAAAAGAGTGAAAAGCGGCGAAGTTCCGTTCGCACTCGGCGCGTGAACTTTGCTTCGACTCTGTCCTTGAGCTGTCCATTTTGATTTTCGCGTTTTTTTCTTCTTCTGTGAGAAAAATCATGATCCGACACCGTCATGCTGCGCTACCTCACTGTCGCGCCCTTTGTAGTGTCTGTCCGCGTACCGGGGACGATCCGTCGCCAAAGACGCCGAAGATTTCTGATGCCTCGCTTCCGTGCCCAGTGCGATTATTCATTACGTGTGTAGGTAAACGCTACGGGGTGTGGACTAGTGGACGGTCAGAATTTACAGGAATTCCGTCTCGAATTCCGCCCGTTCCCACGAGGATCGCGGCGCGTAAAAGCCAATTAACGCAATTTCATTGATAAGAGCATCCTACTGTCCGCGCCGAGAACGGTAATGACGTCTCAAATATCGGGATCGCTAACACGACAACCATCTTCATAGGTATTTGCTCGGAAACCTTTTGGAGCTGATAGTGAAGAAGACGAGACAAACGCTGCCGCAAAAAAATCGAAGCGTCAGAGAAATTTCCGATGCTGCCATCGGAACTCCGCCGACTCTGTGAAAGCCTTCTTAGCCGAGATGGGCAACCCAGCAAACGAGTCGGACTGACAGTATGTGAAAGAGTCCGTTCCGCACCTGGCTCCGTTGCGGGCAAAAATTCAAGCCAGGTGGACTCCCACCGACTCTTTTTGACGGATTCGTACCCGCACCTGAGATTATTGTCTGGAACGCTGGAAGCAAATTACTCGAGTCAGCTGCCTCCATGCCACGGATGTTGTGCATCTTACATAGACACCTGGAGACGATAGTCCGAGACGTACCTGCCGCATGCAACGAGTTCCTGGCCGTGAAGAAGTTCTCGTGTGCGGAGCCGAGGGGCTAAAAGAACAATTTTCATTCCAGGTGATGGTGAAAGTATATGCTCGCGTTCTCTGCTCCGACATAGAGTACAAAACGCTGTGCATCGATGGAACGACCTCAGCGCAGCAGGTCATCATGATGCTGCTGCAGAAGTTCAAAATGAAGCACCGAGATCCCAACTTGTATTATCTCACCATGGAGGTTTGGATGCGGAGCACCGGTGCGTTCATTGCGGAAGATCATGCGAGACCCCGTCCGCTGATTCGGAACTAGTTCTTTTCATATGAAGATCATCCCCCTCTCCAAGTCGAATAAGGGGTTTTCCAGTCTCCTGACCTCCCTTCCTCGGCGGAGATCCGCTTGAATAACAAAGAACGCGTGCTATTTCAGGAATCCCAATCCGAACTATAATGGTCCTGGACGACGAGGCTCGACCCGCGGAATTGCAAGCTTGTCACCCAAAAGGCGAATCCAAGTTTTTGCTGCAGATGCGGCGAGGAGGATTGATCAAAGTCTACGACAGTTGTTTGATGGCAGGGGTGAGTCTCATGTTCATCTCATTATAGTCTACGAGGTCCTACAGGCTTGCGATCAATATATGCCTTAAGCCAAGATCATGGCTGGGGATTCGGTGCGGCTGCGCCAAAGGCCGTGGATTCTCACGGCATCCTCCAGAGAAAGTTCACGGGGGCCGAAAACGCGATGAGTTTTCAGAAATAATGCCGTGGATAATTCCCAGCCCGAGCTACGATATACGTACGCCGTCGTTCTTACGCGGGTAGCGCTTGTCGGCAGCTCGCTGCACTCGTTGCGAAGACTTAACGCAGCACATCGATCTGATCTTCGAAGCGTGAATTTATTAATTATCATCGTGATTTCGTTTGAAGTTATCTATTCCTGACTATTTCAGTCTCTGTACAAGTCCTTGCTTGTCTCAGAAAAGACCACTGCCGAACAGGTTGTGCAGTTAGTTCTGCACTGCTACAACGCCCCTGATAGACCTTCAAAGTATGCTCTATTCCTCGTGTCACATACGTCCAGCTGTGAGTAAATTCCGCCTTCGGATAGTTTGGGGGATTTGATGAAGAAGATTCGAATTACAAGACCCCATCCCAGAGCCACGAATCGGAGGTTGACGGCTGATGATGTCGATTCTTTCCAGATGAACGTATGGTGTACCCTCAGGAAATTCCTTTGAAGCTTCAACAGGACTGGCCGTCATCACAACGTTTAGCTTTCCATCTCCGCAGTGCACAGCCCGCACCCTCTTGCCCGTCAACTTGGAGCACGGGGTCCACGGGATCGAATTCATCTGCATCCAGGTACGGTGTTGGCGGCCGACCGCCTTATAGCCGCGCTGTCCCTCGCTTAGAGTTTTTCAACTTACGGACAATTCGTTCTCAACTCGGATTCCTATCTGTTTGCAGCACTCTCTCGACGGAGTCGGCCGCGAGTATGCAGTCAGTATTCAATAGCTGCCCGGCACCAAAGTCAGTGGTCACAAGCCATAGCCACAATCACTCGCTCACGCATCAGCTCAGCGAACCCAGACGCCATGGACCGCTTCTGACGCCACAGGACGTTTTCATCCATCGACTCAGGTCGTCTCGATCGTCGGTGGAACTGTCTTCGTCTGGAACGTCTTCGCACTCTTCATCGCCCTCGCCTAGCATCGCCGTTCACGGCCCGACCAAATCTCAACCTACCGTATACAATCCCTACGAGAACTGCTTCTACATCTAGCAAGCTGATCCGACGCTGCGATGCGAGAAAGGCTCGTTCGACGACTCTTGTTCTTCGCTTCGCAGAAATGTTTGAGTTGGAGAAGAGCAGCTAGCCGTAGATGTGTCACTGTTTCATTTGTCTCGAATTTCACTCTGATTATGTACAATATCACGTGTGAGGATTGTGGTTTGTGAAGGCTGGATGGGCTCTCGCGTCATGTTTCTGTTCTGACGCTGAGAACCTGATCCGGCGCGATGCTAGTCAACTGTGCGACCAAAACCCTGAGCTCAGCGAAAGCTGTGCCGAAGCTGACAATGGAGCGATGCATCGATTGGTGATCGCAATTCGGAGAGAAGGATTTTATGTGGAATATTTATTCACCATCCGACGCGGACCACGAGCACTCCGCTCGATGGTCATTCTGGTGTACTTTGTAGATGTAGTTGTAGCGGAGGGCCATTGGCACCTCCGATCACAATCATAAACCAAAGCCGGAGCGAATCGCCACCGCGAGCGTTTTTATCCGGAACAATGCCTGATCCAGTATTGAATTGTCGAGTCCACCGACTCGCAGAACAATCGTCGCTCCCGTGCGGAAGGATCGGGGAATCACCTCGAGCACGCTCTGTACAAAAATAAATTCATGTTTTCGAAGCCTTCATCTGGACTCCTGCTTGCCTCTTATTCTAGGTCCCTAAGTGCGGATCCATCTCGAGGGCGGATACTGATTGAGCTTATAGAATTCAAGGCCCGGCCAACGGTATTCTTTTCTAGGATACGGAAAAGTCAGCCTCACGGATGCTTATTCTCATCGATCATCCTGATTCTTAGGTCATTCGATAAAATAACGTTTAAGGGAGCTTAGAGTCGAGATGTCAAGCATGAGTTACCCCCACGCGTCGAGACCAAGCTTCTCTGTGGAGCCGGAGAGAAGATATGCGCATCCAGATCGCTATTCCGAGTGGTCAAGCGCCTGGTTGAGACTGGGGCAGGATCAGCTAAGCGAAGAGTTTTCCAGGAAAGAGGAACCTGTAATCCACTCCCCTGATCATGATGGTAACCCGAGTGCATGCATCAGCTGGTCTGTCCTGTCAATGCACACCGTATGCAGTCGGTCCGAGCGGGGCCAAGAAGACCCCGCCATCCGAGTCGCGGAACTCGACGATGAAACACTTGCTTGTAGAAGGAACAAGGACTCCTAGACTCCCCGGCTTCCCCAAAGCGAGGCTTCAGATTCGCAATGCGTCGCCAATATTCAAATGAGAAGTGCCAGATGAGGCGAATCCGGAAGTAGTCATTCTACGTCGAACTTGAGCGCTGAGAAGAAGCGAAATTCATAATTCGTTTCGCGTTTGGGAGAACTCCGTATTTCACTCCTTCCCTAAGGCTCTGTAAGCGCTCATCGGAAATCAGAGGTGTAAGTTTGGCTGACGATTAGACGACGACGGCGACGACGCAGAGACGCTCTAACAGAGTTTCGTCGTGAGCTTAGGAAGCGAAGGTTCCTCATCTCCGGGGGTTCGTTCCAATTGCGGTCCACTCTTTGACGGAATTCATCATACGAGGAGCCCGCTATATGCGGAGTTCCCCGTCAAGTCGATCTCCAAATGAATAACCTAGGGCGAACCAGTAGAGTTCAGAACGATTAATCCACCGGATTCGAACGACGCAATCCATCTTGGAGAGCCCGATCGAGGACACTGCTGTCCGAGGAGCCGACTCCGTGATTTCCTGAGGTTCATGAAACGCCGGATCATCTACAATTTATTGCTCGTAGTTCACCGAATACTATCCAGCTGTGGAGGGTGGAAAGGATGCAGCAGGCAGTTTCAAAGGTCACAGAAGAATTGTGTTGACGCCATGTTTATTACACTGTTCGTTTGCTCGCTTTCCCTTTCGATCCGAAGAGATGCGTGGACAGACATGTATTGCTATCGAAAGTTCGCCGAGGTTAGGCGTAAATTCACGACAGGGAACATCTAACTATGTAATTCTCCGACCCTACTGCTGGGCTGTGGAGCTGTTCGCTTCCTCGCCTTGATGATAGAAAAAATCCAGGGCCATCGATGGGCTTTTGTTGTTCTCTGAAAGTGTGCGGGCAACTTTAGATTCACGTCGGCAGACCCAATACAGGTCGGCGACTACGACGAGCGGATCGAGGCCGAACTCTGGAAGAGTGACTCTTGTCGAGCAGCAGCGCAAGCTCCTCCAGTAACCGGAGTGGCTGCGGCGGGACCAGCAGCAGCATCTTCTTCGTCCCCGCGACGGACGGAGAGTGCAAGCAGGAGAAAATATGGGTCGGGGCTTGGGTGTTCCGGGGATCATTTGGGAAAACACGAAAGAGGCGGAACCCTGATCCCCGTCTTGGCAAACCCCGTTTTCTCGAAGCACACGAGGGAAGGAGACGGAGGCGGCGGCAGCGGTCTTTTTAGGCATAGTTATGATCCACTCGCTGACTTTAATACCAGAACGGAATAACGCAGCCATCCTCCCACCAATCTGCTTCTGAGCTAACTCGCGAGGAGAAGACAACGTTCGGAGCTGCCGGCCTAGCTGAATTTGCCGCCGCCGCGCTGCCGCCGCCACCGAACCAATCTGCCTATCCACCTGGCGCAGAAATTGCGGGGCATATTAAGAAATTGCCCGATGCGAACGTGTCTCCGACCATCAATGTCATTGAAACATGGAAATCAGATCGACCAGCTGGTCAGGCTTCCAGCCGTGCATCCTCAATTCAACATATATATTATCGGACATATATATACGAACGGGAGAGGAGTCGGCCGCGGCTGGCTGCCCTACAGACTAATAATACTCCTCACCCGATTGTGGATGAACTTCGTCGGTGTGCCAACCCGTTTTTGTGGCGGTGTCCGCTAGAGACCATATCTTTGGTTTGGGAGACTCCACCCCGTTCGAAGGGTACATCTCTTGTGAGCTGAGGGGGTGCATGACGTTATGAGGTCCGACTTCTGCGGGATCGGCAGAAAAATTTATCCCGTCTGACTGCGCACATCCATCCCCACGCAGAGACTCGAATGGTTCTTTTCGAATTCTTCTACGGAGTGGTGGTAAGACTCCGTGGAGGTGCTAGAGGGCATTTGGAATCGCTTACCGGTGCTCGTCTGCTGATGGAAGTTCTCCGGCTGCTGTGGGTCTTCGAGGTCGCCCTCGAAGTCGCATTTGTTCCGGGGCTCCCAGGTCATCTTGTTTTCCTTTTTGAGTCTCCGTCGAGCGTTTGCGAACCATGTGGAAACCTGGAGCGGAATACCCGTTCGCTCGTCTCCATGAGTAGCTATGCTTTTCGTCTCGATCATCCTCTCAGAACAGGAATCGAGAAACACGGTCGAAAGGCACTCGATATTTTCTCGTCTCCGCTCTCACGTCGGAGATTCCGATTCGTTCGGAATCCGGGCATGAGGAAACTTAAACGTACCTGAGTCAAGGTCATTTTCGTTATGATAGCCAACATAATTTTCTCGCCCTTCGAGGGATACGGGTTCTTCTTGTGTTCGTTAAGCCACGCCTTCAGTGTAGACGTAGAGTCGCGGGTGACATTTTTCCGTCTCGTAGTTTGTAGTTCGAATCCGCCTCCGCTGGGCGAGTACCTGGTATTGATAAGGCGTAACTAAATTGACATTGAGCGTCCTTTCGATCTCCACTAATACAGGCTGGCGATACTCCCGCCTGCCGATCGGCCTGTCTATCCGGCACGATAGGTCCTCTGAAGCAGGCCGATTAGTTTCGGGATTCCGGCCATCAGGATGTCTTCCTCAGGCTCTGTGAGGGACAAGCGTGTCACGCCTTCTGAGCTACAGTCACTCAAGCTCTCGCTGCTCTCTGTTCAGGGGGGTCGGAATCGGGGCAGGGTGAGCAAAACTGGTCCTCGAGACTCGTACCGAGAAACTTTTTTTCCTCTTTCCGGGTGATTTTCTTCCGGCGTAACGACATTTCTGATTCGGAAATGTCGCTACGAAACTCGAACCCTTCCGTATATTTATGGAGTAAATGCAATTTCCTCAATACTGCGATCAGGATGGGGGACATCGAGATGTTCTCCGTGTTTTTTTCTCTCGTCGCAACCGTCGTTGCCGCTCAGAGCAGAGCTCTCCTTTGTGTTCCCGACTCCGAGCGTATTCGTGTGAAACACAAATCGGATTCAACACGAACGCGCGTACGGAGCAGACCCGTTTAGCTGGGGTTCCGCTCCGTTTGATGAGGAACAAGTCACATGGGCAGATGCGGTTCGTGGTCACTTCGATCTGCGGACAGCTGCGGCCGCTTCGACGTGTGTCCGGGAGGAACACCGAGCTGTACAGACAACAGTTCCACTGGACTCTACTCGTTCGGACTGTCATTGAATCGCCGCTCGTCCGGCTTTCGGAAACTGAGTCACACTGTCGTCGCAGCCGATGCCGAAACCGCTGTCAAGGAGGCGACCATCAACACTACCGCCGCTGCCGTTGACTTCGATGAAGAGGCCTTATTGAATGAGACACGCGTCTGAGCGCTAGCTATGCGACACTCCCTCGTACAAAACCCTGCCACACACACACCTGAGGATTCGACACAATGGCACTCACCCGTAAGTGAACGTAGCGTCGTAATACGGCTGGGCTGGAGATATTCCGCGCCAGGGGTCGCTATCCTTGATGTACGGAGTCGATGTCGCCTAAAGTAAAACGGGTGTGCGTTCATCTGAGTCAAAGAATCCAATTCTAGGAATGAATCTCCATCCTCGTAAGCCAGCTTCACCTATTCGAGACACGAGGGAGAATCTCCCGGTCCCCCCAAAATCCACTAAGCGGCAGAATAATCGACGACTCGCGACTTTTCAAGAAAGGTTCACGAACTGACTGCTGAACCGCACTTAATTCGAGAAAACCTCCGCTCCCCTCCCCGCACGGGGGCTATCTGCCTCGAAAAACAAACAATCGGGGGAAGAGGGAGCTGATTAATAAATTTCTTCGAGGGGGCGACTGTCGTAACAAACAGCAAGCATACCCGCTGACTACCTCCTCGCTCTCTCCTTCGTCTTCCCCTCTCATACATGCTCAGCGTTGAACAATAATGCGGAAATTAATCAAAATGAGCAGCAATCTCCTACGGCGCACCAGATGGGCTGTCATCCACATGCTGGCAGGGATTCTGCGGGAGCGGAATGGGAGTCGAGCTGGGCCGGCAGCGGTGGCTCAGGGGCTTGAGGGGGAGAACTATATGATGATATGCACACCCCCTTACAGTGACACTTCAGGGTGAATCCCGATAGATAGACAAAACCAATCGCTCGGTTTCAAGTGGGTGGTACCGGCTGTCGGACAGGGAAAAGGAAAATCAAAGCACGAAATCACTAAACGACTATCAGGTTCTTCTGTCGAGACGGGATGGAAGACTTCGTTGGTGTGTGTTGAAGATGACAAGAGTCGGATAGGGGAACTGAGGAGAGCTGTATGCACTGAGCCTTCCAATACGATTCTCGAGTTTTTTTTATTATTTCCGGCTTGCCATCGAGTTCGATGGACTCGAACTCGAGTCATCCGAACTCGAATCATCCGAAATACGACAGAATACGTTCATGCCGCACATCAGTAGATCAGCGATCATCAGACTGAAGAGCTCTTAGGAAACGTTCTATTCCACGTCGAATTTCAGTTGAGAATCAAGGGCGACTGATTGGAACAAATGGGTATTATGAGTGAGGCTAGCTGATTTCTTTTGTGCAAAGTCAGCCAGCGCACCAGAGCAGGGGAACGGATGGGTAGACGAGGGGATCAGAAACTTCCGCTCCATCAGGCACCAATTGGTCCGAACAACGAGCGACCACCACGGTCGGTGGCAGCGGCATCATAAACTCAACTTAACTAGATCGAGCGCTCGCTCGCTCGCTGGAGGTGACACCCCAACAATGGCGGGACGAAAAACTTGCGACTGGATTCAAAGAGTTGCCCTACGGAAAGTAAACAAAGGCATCAGGCATCCCGCGTATGTTTAAACTTTACTTCTGAATCTCGTACTCGCTTCCCCCGCATTCCTCTCGATTTCAAAGGGATCTCGTCCGCTCCGACCGACCGGCGTGACGACGAAATCCGGTGCTTTTCAACCGAAGCTCCGTGAGTCCTGAGGAAACGTCATGACTAAGTTGAGCTTCAGACTTCAGACTATCGACAGGGATCGTTAACTCTGTTGCCTTTAGTCTTTGTCGACGCTGCGGCTGTGTTTGGAGCTCCCTTGTCTCAATCGAGCTCTCCGATAGGTAGTAATCGTCCTCCGGGTGAGATTCCTGAGGGTCTTGAGACATTCGCCACGGAGAGCATTCATACTCCGGGGTGACGAAAGGCTATGCCAGGGCGGACCTCAGTGATCCGTCGGCGGCAGAAACATTCATTCTAGCTTGCACTGAGTCCGGCATCCGATGCGTGTCGCGCATTGGAAGAACGACTCACTGAGATCAGACGCACTGCATATCCGTGCTTTTCTCGTTTGAAGAGCGTTCGTTCCGGGGGAATCATCGCATCGCTGACAGCGCTGAAGATTTCCCATGCGTGAGCTAGGAATTCCCCGGCCTTCCGAATTTAATACTCGAGAGCGAAGATTCTTGATTGCGAGACACAAAATTGAGTGTTCTTTTCCGCAATCACGAAAATATCAGGAATCAGGAATCAGGAGCATATCGGTCGCATTGCTCGTTTCTCTGGGGTACAAACTACCTTCGCAAATGCTTTTCGCATTTCGGCCGCCAAATTGAATCGTTCCCTTATAAATTTCAGGAATAAGGTCATTATCTCTTGTTGTTCAGTGCAAGCGAAAGTCTCCTTCACGAGTCTCGGGGAGCCATAGTTCTCCCACAGTGATTTCTTGATTTGTTATTCATGCAGTTGGCAGCATTTCGAAGAGCGTCGCGGATTCGAAATCTGACTTCGTCTAACAGGGCAGGCAGTCTCAAATCTTCACGTTGCTTGGAGATTTCTCGGCAAAAATTTTCTGGGGCGCGGCGATCTGAGCAAGCCGTCTTATGTAGCCGTCCAACCCTTCAAGTATTTCGGCAGATATCAATGAGGACGCATCGCCTCGTAAATTCGACGGAACGCGAGCGGATTCAGTTTTCTTGAATCAGCTGTATCTTGATTCCAACGTTCCACGACTTTCTATCGTATGGGGCATCCTTCAAACGTGCCGCACGATGAATAAAAACCCCAGTTGAGCGATACTTGGAAGCTCCGATTCCTTTTCTGCCGAAATTCGACATGATCCCAATCGGGCACAGTACTTGTAATGGAGGTAGGTACAGATACGGGAAGGAACATCGGCTCAAAGATAACCGGAGGCGAGAACCACGCTTTCGACGTCAGCTGTGATTGGCGTCTCGACCCAGGGCTGGTTGTCGATTCGCCGGGCAACAAGATGTTTACTCGGTTCGTCAGTGGCTCGTGGTCTGTGACATCTGACAGATGCTTTTCAATAGAGTCGTCGACGCTCGATCGGAGAGGATCCTTGGCTCCAAAATTGACAGAATATCAGAATACTTGTTTTGAAGTCGTGCTGAGGCTTCCGCGCCTCATGTCTGTCGGAGCATTCCACGGCGGGCCATGGTTTTGATTGAGGCGCGCGCAAGACCAGGAGTTTTTCCTGTCAATAAGTCAAAAGTATGATGCATCGCCTTTGGTTGGAAGAAGTTCGAGAAAAAAGGACCCCCTCGGCTACGATGGATCCCCACAGTATAATGTCCGAATTGGCGGGGCTGATCTCTGCACAGAGTCCCGCGAAAATTCGTGTAGCTTTGCAGCACAAAACTGAAAGGTCTTTCCGTGCGGAGGGGACTCGCCGACGCTGGGTTTTCCTCCCCCGGACCCCTAACCCCAGCTTCGTCCGCGGCCTTGAAGACTTTCGTACTGGTCCTCTTGCTTCATCGCGCTCGGTCAAAAGCATCGACCGCCGTACAGCCTCTCAGGATGAATGGTGTGCTTGGCTTGGATAATTATTTGCGTAAAGCGAAAACTACTTACAATCGTTGGGTAGAAATTCGAAGGAGGACCATGATGCGTGTAAGGATTCGTTGCCGACATATCGTAACCCTGTGTGGTTGGATATCCGTCCAGTGGAGAAGGTGGAGCTTCTCGGCCAGGGCTCGAGCAACTCGGTGTGAAAGACGCCTAAGGGTCATGATTGAGGAGTCATTCAGAGCAAATTTCTCAGAATCCGCTCGCTCGGTCGATGTTCTCTTCCGGTCAGACCGAGGGATTGGATCTTCTATGATTTATCTCGAAATGGGAAGTTCTGCATGCGAAGGCGTTATTGGAAAAAGGAGCTAGCTAGCTAGTAGCTCGGTACGGCAGTGAACCCGAGATCCGAGGAGATGGAGATATCTCTTCTGAGGAGGGGGATTGAGCCTCCCACGGATTGCCATACGATTATACGTGCAGCAGAAGTAGAGTCGGTCATTGAAACTCCATTGGAGTCTCTGAGCTGCAGAGTTTTTGATCCGACGTGGATAGGGGATTCTTGTCAGAACTCTGAACACAATCTCAACCCTCGCGGTGAGTCCCTCCAGCCCTGAACCACTCTCTGACTTGCATCTGAGTCTGAGATGTTTCGCCGCGCGGAGGGTTCACTATCGAATGTACACTGTAAGGTTCGGGCAGCCTACCTGAGGTAAGGGTGGAGTCGTGCTCGTGTTGTAGAATCCGAATCCGCCAGCATAGTTGGCCATCTTGCAGATTCTTGTAAAGTCCAAAGTTTCCTTCGCGTCGACGACAAGGCTCGTCTTACTTCACAGACCTGCTCTGACTCTGAAGAATCTGGCCTCGATTCCCAATCTCAGCGAGTAGATCACCGTCAATCTAACCCGGAATCCATTCGCGACTTGTCACACAACCGATGAACTTGCGGAACTTCCGAGGCTCGCTGGTTAAGACAGGTGGGGGTACACTCCTTGCAGGGCTCCACGAGATGATGAGGGCTCGATGCGAGAAACAATCCAACAGGAGAGATTTCGCATCCAATTGCGAGCTCGCAGCGATTAATGCGCTGTATGTTGCGTGTCTCTGACACCGATGTTAACAAGGAATGTCCTCGTCTTGTTGTCAAGCGACATGCGACATCAAACGACGTGCGACTAGGATGCTGCGAAAATGCTGCTCTGGAGCAATCTCTGAAGCCGCCATTGGATGCCGCCAATCGGAGCTGCCGGGCGGAGTCGAGCCGGCGCAGAGGCTCCGCCCCCCGAGAGTCGGTCCCGTCTTGCTATTCGTACGCTGTCGCTGGAATCGAATGCTTCGACATTTTTCATCGACTGTGGTTAGACAGGTACTATGCATGCTGCTGGTACGTGCTTGATCACTAGGTGCTGCCTGGCCGCCCAATGAGGTCGCGATTTGTACACTCTTTCATTCACTCGAGTCGATGCGGCACAATGAGTGCAGCGATCAAGAGGCACAAGACACCCTCATTCCATAGGTCCTGTGATGTGTTCTTTTTATCAAGTGAAACTTGGATCCACAGCAAGGGTTTACACCTTTTCCGACGACTTTTTTCCTGAATCAAAATGACAGTTCCCGAGTAGAATCGTCAGACGTCCTCCCGCACGCCGAGCACTCGGGGAAGCTCGAGCTAGGGAAATATTCCATGTATTCTCTTCCGGGCACCAAGCCGGAGAGGTCGTCTCGCTCCTCGCATGCAGCTTGAGAGGAGCCTTGATTCCTATCGGCATTGAAGTAGGCTCCCGGTCGTGATGCTCGATGCCGATCGATGGGAACTTGAGGCAGAACGCAATGAGTGCCACAAAAAGCCCATCTCTGAGGTCACGTCGGAATTTAGCGTCTCCCGGATATTTCCCGGAAGCATTGCCTCTTTCGGGTCTGACAATTGGCCCTCCCCACCAAAAGAGCCCCCGGAGGCCTATCCTGTCGCCTTTATTGTTTGCACAATGACATCCTCAAAACATTTCCGTGGTTCCAATTATACCCCTTCTCGCTTCCGATTTCCGATGATGTCCTCCCATCGGCCAGGACCCTCCTGGAGATGGCGGAGCGAAGCCCACTCATTTGTGTCGATTGAAAGCATTGATCTCAAACCTGAACGAGCTAATCATCCCGCAGCCGGATATTCCGGGAGTTTTCGGACTCCTTGTCTCGAATGAGAGGGATGATCCTTTGCACGAGTAGACTCAGGTGAAACTCATGACTGTGAATCGAGTACGAAGTACGGACGAGTCATTTCGCGGCGAGAGCACAGAAGAAAGGATGAAGCTGCTTGTTGTCAGCCTTCCTGGACCTCTCGAGTAGAAAGAAGCTCTCCAATATGGATCTCAATTATGTACGATACGGACCTGATTCAATGCGCCATACTTTGCCTATACATTCAGTCTTTCAACGCCACTCTGACTGCATGCCCGTTTATCATTGGCTGAACGTCCAATTTCCAATGGGGGATAGTTGTGGCCTCACAGATCACTGAGAGGTTTACCCGGGACGTTGAACCTTGGCTGTGTGGATCAGCCCGAAAAAGTTTTTTTTAGATCACTGAGAGGTTGGGAGGAGATGCATTTCAGCTTATCTTTGGAGGGATTGTCGATCGGCATGATCTAAGTAAGCTGCCCTTAGGAATCATATGGCTTTGGAGTTCGCGAGAACTCGCGCGGGGAATGCGATTCGTTCCCGCTCCTCCGTCTGACGGAGGAAAAGATAACCAGGGTCTTGATATGCAATATTGGAGAAAAAGTCCGTGAGGCGTCAAATATCGATTCACGATAAAATGATTACACTCATGAATTCTCCGGAGATTGTAGATTCCCTCTTCGGATGCAAAGCGCGTCACGATCTCGCAGCATGAACGAAGGATATTCGCTGCTCTGGGCCGGGATTGCTCGCAGGGTTCGTTTTAGCACGAATAAGCCGAGTATTCGGGCCTCGAACAGCCGACAGCCACAGTGACGGAAATACGGTCATTCTCGAAGCCTAGTCCGAGCCCAGGAAACCCTCAACCCGATACCTCGGCAGATACCAAACCTTATTTGACTTTCGCGGCCCTTGCATCGAGCGTGGCAGCACAGCATGACACCTGGAGTCGAATTCGCGACTCCCCAGCCTTCATTGATTGATAGCAACCAACGCTACGAGCTACAGTATATCTCGCGGTTCGAGAGGAAGCCTAACTGAGTTGACACATCCCCTGCAAGACTCGACAATTTACTGGGCTCCATATCGGAGCCAGCTCTGCCTCCGGCCTTTTCATTATCCGCAAGGCATATTTCCTGTGACCCGTCTCTTTTTATTGGAACTAAATATGATGAACCGTGTGTTCCACGGAGGCGAGGTTCGTCCTTCTCATCGTAAAACGCGTTTTCCACGGGATGAGGCAGGCGATGGATATCGGCTCTGTTCAGGACCTCACTTTTTCCCCACAGCAATCATCGAGGGGGACGCCGTCTTCTGACGGGGCACAATTCTCCCGGCAAAATTCTGAACATGCGTCATGTGCCGGGCACGATCAGAGCAGGTCACGGGGCGCCGTAGGGAACACCGTTAGAAAGGCTCAAGTGCATGGCTCGAGGTAATCTTCCGACTACATCTGGGTATACCCGGAAGTTGGTACTTGGCCCCCTGAGGCTGTACAATACCGAGTCCTCCCCATGAACGAAATTACAGTTGCTCTCCTATGTAAATCTTCTCAACTCATTCCCCATGCGGTTCCCCATGAGGATTCCGAAAATCCCCCCTGATCGATGCTCGACCCCCCTAGAATCGGACTTGTGTACCGTCTGTTCTTCGGCGGCCGATGGTGAGCTGGAGGAGTCAGCCGTTTCACTCACTACGACAGTCTGTCGTATCGCGGTGAACCACTAGCTTCGACCGCGATCCCGCGAAACCTGAGGGCCATCCGACGCTTGCAATCTACATACGCACCGAGCAGAACAACGAGATTGACAGGACATACGACTCAAATAAATGGCAATCAATGACTTACCTAGCATCGATAGGAACTCGTTTTCAGCGTCTTCAATTGACGGCTCCTATTTCTCTGATGCGACCCGTTATTTTCCCCCACCCCGACCCCGCGTCTCGGTACAGGCAGTGCCCAGCAGTGCTAACTTTAATAAGCAGCTTCCCCCCACAGCTGTTGTGTTGCGCGAGGTTCTCAGCGAATCCTTCAAGCTCGATGTGAATACACTTCTGCGATCGGTCAGCAGTCTTCCGCCATCGAAGACGGGCTTGCCTCCAGGCCTTGGGACGCGACATCTGTCGGAGGTGTAATACCTTCCGTGGCGACAGATGAGGCACGTGAAGATGACCGCGTCGAACTCAGCTCGGGATTCCATCTTGAAAAGTGTCGCTGTTATTGAAGTTCAAAATCCAAATATCGTCGCCGGCTGATTCGCTCGAGCGGTCCGGACGGGAACAACAAAAATGGCAGTCGTCGAGCGAGGACTCTGGTCAAATTCTACGCGTGAGGATTCCCGACATCTCGCTCCTTTCATTTCTTTTCCCCTTGTTATACGAGTACAAGAGGATGCGGAGCCTTCGCGACGAATTTTTCCTCTTGCTCATCCTACGAACGAAGTCGTTGTCATGCTGCTGCTTGTCGTGTCTGTGCTCTCGGGCTCGAGCAACTTCTGTCACAGATGTTCGGAGTTTTCGGAAAATTCGAGAACCGGTCGAATTTGGTTTTGTTGAAACTGGCGCCATAATTTCGATTCAATAGAAATTGAGACGGAATCCGATAGAGGCGACAATGGAGAGCCTTTCACGTCGATTTCTGATAGCTCACGGCCGAATTCCAAAAAGAGTCCGAGAAGTCCAAGAGGGGAATTCGATGGGGCTGATTCAAAACGATTCCTGAGCCCATTTCAAATATAGGCGACAGAGGTTCCCTGGTTGACCGTTTCCCCGTGGGACGGAAGGAACGAGTGAGAGTTCAGCAGTCGAATTCGAGGCGGGCGGGCCAAGTGAAAGAGCAATGAGTCGCCAACAATCTCAGCTCGGCTCTACTTTGTGATGAATGGCATCACACAAGTGAAACTTTGTTCGTCCGCAAATGGGCCTTATTGCCTTGGCAATAGCTGCACTACTTCATGAAGCACTTCATCATACTCGCTTGCCGCTTTCTCCACCCGTTTTGATCCCGGTATGATCCCTTCCCAGTCAGTGGTTCTTCGCTGTGCAACAAAGCGACACCTCGCACTTTCTCTATATTTCGCTCCCTCTCCACTCGTTCTATTTATTGGAGGGCGGCCGGGCGATCGGCTGTCTGATCGGGTACTCGATACACTCTTGACTGACGCTGAGCCGCGGATGACGAATGTCTCGGTTTACCAGCGCTCGCATGAAAACCGTCCCGCCGGGGCACATAATGCGGTCCCTCGATAGGCACGAAAAGGGAGACAAGGTTACGTTTTTTCGTCGTGCCGCCCTCCAGACGGACGCTCGCGTTATTAATAATAAAGCGAAATTACTCATTCACGACCCCCTCCGAAAGCCTAAACGAGTCGACCGGAAGTCAGCGTTCCACCAAACAGGCTCCTCGCCGCTCGACGTCAGATATGACGAAGAGGCTTGTGGGCGACTCGCGTCGCGTTGGGTGCGGATTTTCCGGCGAAATGAATCGGGCTTGGAAAGGAAAACTGAATGATCCGGCTTGCTCCGCCGGAAAGCTCCTCGAGTCGCTCGAACTGAAGCACGCTGCTAGTCACACCTACGCACTTTGGAAGATATCACAAGCTGTCGCCTCAGTTTCATCAGAGCTGCAAAAAGTATCCGTTAATTGGTACAGGGCGCCCCCTGACATTCCCGCGCCGCGAAAATTCCCTGTTCAACATACTCTGTGCTCTACAGCGCGATATTAAAGCTCTCCGCAGCCGAAGCGGCGCCGCGTCGGCATGCCCAGAGGAGCGGCAGAAGCGCTCCGAACCTCCCTAGAAGACTGAAGAGAGAAACGAGGATGAGGAATAGTGGCCCGCCAGCATTGGAATACCAGACAGTGTTCCGGAGGTCCTTCCGATATAAATTGGAGGCCGAAGATGCTGGATATCAGGGGAACCCACGCGGAGAGAAGGCACCATCTCTAGAGAATCGTGCTTCCGTCTACGCTACTCTGTCCCCATCGGATTCGACACCGACTGAGAAAGCTGGCTATCCCTGATCGTTCCCGCATTGTCTTTGATTGAATCGCCTTGGGGAGCGAAGAAATCTGGAAGGGTCGATTCATAAATTCAATCCAACGGGAATGGAGTCCACGCACCCTCCCACTGCATTGTCTGGATCGATAGTTCCCAAAGCTTCGGCAAAAAAAGGCGATGTCGTGGTATGGGTCCCTGGAGGGTCCGTTACCACTCCGAGTTCCTGCCGTCCCCTGTTCCCGCCGATTAGAGGAGGGAACCTCGATCAGACCGCATATATGAAGAGAATAGGCTTCAGGAAACCACTTTGTCTTTCCAGATTCTCCCGGAATCTCGTTCCCCCGCTGTGTGGGTGCTTCGTCATGGAGACCCGCGAACTGAATGAGATCAGATTCATTCCGTCAATCGGGATTCTGATCGAAAAAACTCGTTCACTCTAACCCGCGGTCTCTATACAATATATTTATTCTTCCGCTTCTATCGGAGCGCTTGGAGGAGGATCGAGGAGAAAACTCGAAAAATTCAGAGTGGTTGGCATCACACAGGAGTCATCAGAAATCGTTGTCGGTGTCGTCATTCGCCGGCTGCTGTTTCGACGGGGGCTTGACCGCGCCGAAAGCTGCGAGGTCGACGTCATCGGATGAATTTGATCCATTGTCATCACCGAAGTCCAAATCTGAGTCAGAGTCCTGGAACGATTTACTCTCAACTATTCTAATATAAGTTCCCCCATTCGTCCGTAATCTTTCCGTAATTCGCGCTGCGACTAATGCCTAAATCCACGTTTCCACCCACCTTCAGCGGGGCGCTCATCGAACCGAAGACGCGCTGACGACCCGTAGGATCGCGACGAGTTCTTGATTTTGTCGCAGCAGCGTCGTCGGGAATTTCAGACTCGTCCTCCCCGAGTTCACTCTCGATCTCACTCTGTCGCATTTTCGCAACGATTCGCCTCACTTGCTCCTCACGCTCCTAGGAATCATATTGACATGTCGATTAGGAGACTTGCGCCTGGTGAAAACGCGCGAAGAGCGCCATGAATCGAGGTGAGGAATGAAATTTACGAACCGCTCTCTCTTCGTTCTCCTGCCGTTCGAGTTCTTCGAGTTGCTGCTCCAAATAAGCTAAACAACGATATTTTCGGATATATTCCTCGTAAACTCCTTTTAGTTCGTCCTCGAGGATCTCATACTCGTCCATATAAGCTGGCCTGAAAAATCCATCGTGAATTTGGAATCAGCACTTTTGACGATGACGCCAAGCGCCCGATGAGGTTCAGCGCCTCTTGCCCGACGTACCGCACGGCCCGGAGGGTCTGCAGTCTGTTCTGACTTCTTTCCAGCTCCTGTTTTCTCTTTTCAATTTTCTGTCCCAAGTTCGCCTCGTCTTCGTGTACATTCTCAATGAGGGTTCGGGTCTTCCCAACTTCACTCTTGACGGCATCAATAACTTGACCGAGACATCGTTCCACCTGCGATTGAACAGTCTGAGCAAAGATTCCGTGGAAACAAGAATTTCATCCAATGAAGAATCTCGCATCAGAGAATCAAATGAGCAGACCTGCGATATTTCGAGGTGTCGAGACAGAGCATCGTTCCTGACTTTTTTCAATGCCACCTCTTTCCCCAATAAATCGAATAGCAGCACGCCTTCGTTTGTCAGCTCGCTAGCCAGCTGACGAGCTTTCCGAAGCTCTGAAAACTGCGGAGAGAATGAACTCAAGACTCTTCGTCCGATTTCGGAGCGCGCGGCCGCTGATCCTCTCAGGTAGTACCTTCGACGAGATGGCGTAGGAATCGTATGATTCTTCTTCATTTTCGTCTTCGTCCAGATTGCCGGTCTCGGAGCGGTTTGCTTGCAGTGTCTCTTTCAGGAGTTCCACAAGTTTGAGCATTTCCCTGACAGCATACCCGTCCGCTCCATAGAGCCTTTTCGTGCTGAGTTTCAAATTCGCCTTCAGAATCTGAGGAAGGAATTGATTCATGCGACTCCTAGCCTAACATCGAGCACCGTGGGTGAAATGCAAAGCAGAGAGTGCTACAGCCAAAATTTAGTACAATATCCAAGAGGGCATCCCGTACCATAGTTTCAGCGATGATTTTCACGAAATAAATTCGATCCTGCTCCTGGTCAACATCAGGTGGGAGATTCAACTCAGGATCGATTCGCGTCATCAGGAATTCAAGGATGTCAGCCATCAGACGGAAGCTCGGTTTCCTGAACGAATCCATCGGCACGAGCCTCGGATAGCCGAGAGCTTTGAGGCTCTCCACAAGGTCTGTAATTTTTTCTCGGAGAGTCAGTACCAAACGCGATCTCGACACGAGCTCCTACAGCTCGTGGATGCCCTCTATATGTGCTTGACGGACTCACTTTTTGTTTCTCGGTACGACATCGTTCTGGTCCTTGGAGTTTTGACGACGGGCCTCTCTAGAGGTAGGCGCATCACCTAGCAACGCGAGGCAAACAGAGAAGTTGGATCCCCTCTCCTCTTCGGCGCCTTCAGATATGACGTCGAGCACCGGAGGAAAATTTATCGACGGACTCGCACGGCGACTTATTTGTGGACAGCCGGGGAAACGTCAGACCGGCTCTTGAGGAGGAAGAAACTTCTCCACCACAAATTCGAAACTTGAGGCTGAACGAATGGGATTGGCAGTCGACTTCCAACAGCTGGCACGGACTATCATAGTTCTTCGCGTATACCTATATGCTCTGCCGAGTTTCAACTCCGTGTGTAGAGTTCTTCATTCATACGATCATCTGCCTGACAGAATGAGCTTGTCCTGGGTCGGCCATCCACACAGCTCGTACCTTATGTCGAGCCCACCGCTGCCATGCGATTATGATGGTAGCGATAATTAATGATTCGCTCAATTCGTCGGAGATTGCCGCTGTCGATCAGATCGAGTGAGATGAATTTCCCTCAGTCCAGGCAGGCACCAATTCAAAAACCCCCTCAAAGGGTCGTTGGCGCGACGGGAAAACATATTGCGTTTTCGAAACTCGCGCCAAAAATTTGGCGCCAGTCTCCCAGCTGACAGGAAGGCACTCTGATCATCAGTCGTCAGTCGGAGCTCACCTGGACCCATTTCCACTTCCAGTGAGGTTCTCTTCGTCCACGAAATACCATCCAGGGTATCCGCGTCAAGTGACGAGATGGACGCCGTCGATAATTGGGTAGACAATTCGATCAACCTCGAGATATCATCAACGGAGGAACCGACCCTATGTTTCGAAGAGGATTGTGTGCTCGGTATCGATGAAGCCGGCAGAGGCCCCGTTCTCGGACCCATGGTTTATGGAACGGCCTACTGGCCACTCTCGAAGGTAAGCGTCAGAAGAGCTGAAGCAGCGTCACATTCGTGATGGATTCTTCATTGGTTCCTCACTGATGCATATGTCTCTTCTCCGCACTCTAGTCGAAACATTTCGGAGAGATGGGACTCGATGACTCCAAAGTTCTATCAGAAGCTGATCGGGAAAAACTCTTTGAGCTCTACAACAAGGAGAATGCCATTTCTGGGTGGCACTTGGTGTGCATCTCCCCAGTGACCATAAGCAAATCTATGCTGGGTAAGCCAAATTGGACGAGGAAGCGACAGCCGAACTTCACCCCCGGTCCTTCCAAGGTGTACAGCTGACACAGAATCGAGACGCTCCTTTGAAAAGGCGATGAGGACCTCGTTCAATGTTGAGCCGAAACTTCTCACTCCCTTCCAGCGAAAGACAACCAAAGAGAGAGCTTAAACGAATTGTCGCACAACGCTGCCATTCATTTGATCCGAGTTACTCTCAGAAGAGGGGTTCGAGTAACGGAGGTCTACGTAGACACTGTCGGCCCTCCGGAGAAGTATGAAGCGAAGCTACAAGCTTTGTTCCCTGAGATCAAGGTGAGGAACTTCTTCATTCCGAATCAAGTCGAACAAAACCTGACTTCCGCTACTTTGAATTAGAGACTCTCGGAACTACCGATGTTCCCTGCTCTGGGGTTTCCGCGTGCATTGTCTTGAGCAATCGATCTGCCTCCAGATTACTGTGAGCAAGAAGGCTGACTCCCTATTCAAGTGCGTCAGTGCAGCCTCGATCTGCGCCAAAGTTGCGAGAGACAGGGCTCTCAAATCGTGGAGCTGGAGGGAAGGGACTACATACGAGAAAATCGGTGAGAGAAACTATCTTCACGATGCTGCGATCCATCCCTCGTTTCGCGAATATCGTGCTTCCCCGGGGTCCGCTGGAATTGCATATGTGAATTCCTTCCAGGCTCCGGATATCCAGGCGACCCAGTCACCAAAAAATTTCTACGCGACTCTTGTGATCCGATTTTCGGTTTCCCGTCAGTGACGAGATTTTCGTGGTCGACGGCCGAAGACCTGCTGGCGAAGGAGCACGTCAAAGTGCAGTGGACGCTCGAATCCAATAAGAAGTCCAAAGGCGCCATGGACCTTTTTGTGAAAAAAGAAGCCACACCCAAGGAAGATGCTTTTTTCACCAATCGATGTATACAACAGGTCGTCAGCCTGTAGATTTCGGGACAAGGATACCTCTTTCGAGCGAATAACAGATTGCATCGATCATACCTCAGGAGATAGGTGCATTGATGCGCTCGCTTCTTGATGCAAAATTTGTCATCGATGTGATGGGCCTAGGCGAGCTCGAGAATTCCAATACCTAACATGGCTGCCATAATTCCGGAACATGAAGAAGTATTGTTTCTTGTTTATTTGTACATGACCGTGACCGTCGAGAATAAACAGGTTCTCAACACTCGGCGCCGTTTCTATTATGATTCCATTGTGTTTCAATGACTTGTAGGCGTCCTCGGACCAGATGGGTCGGTCTCCCTTTCTTTCGGAAAGAAGCCTGTAATCGCTTTCGACCTCGGCGTCGACAGCTTCTTCCTTTTCGGCGTCTGGGGATTCGCAGCCGACGATGTCTGAGAGGAGGATCTCTTCTGCGACGGAGTCGACGCTCTCATTCTCAGAGGGGTCAGAGGAGATCGCATGGTAGCTGGACTCTGGGGCGTCCCAGGAGATGACTGTGTGAGGAACGAGAATTCTCAAATCATGATATTCCTTGAAGTATTTCGATCCCCGATTGCGGGCACTTCTGCGGTTAGAACAACGAGGCGAGACGTGAACGAACCTTGAGCCAATCGGCCAGCGAAACACTGCAACGGATCGTCTTGTTGACTCGCGGCGTTGCATCGCATTCTTTCGGACGGTTATACTGTTCATGCATTTGCATTATCTTGTCGCTGAGAGGTTTTTCCTTGAATCCTTCACAATATCCGTATACGATCCGATTGGTATCCTCAGCGCTGACAGGTTCCCACAATATCAATTGCTGATCGTCTCCACAAGACGCGAGCTGCGAAAATTCCCCAATTTCATAGCCCATTCTTGAAAATATCGCTCCGTCGAAAATTAGCCGGATGAAAATTAGGAAGTTTGAAAAACCAATAGCTTCGCGAGCCTCACTTTGAGATCGGTGCACCAAGATGGACAAGTGGGCTCGGCGTAATGGCCTTTGAGCATGAGTAAAGGAGGTCCTGGCCGCTTCGTATCGAATATCGGAATGGGTTGCTCCTCACAAAGCTCATCCATCTGGGAGGGTAACGAAGGAGAGCCCGGTTAGTGAGAACCGGAGGCTGATTCGAGACTCGGGAGAGGATTCAGCCATTCGAGACGTGTCCGCGAAGGAATAAAAAGCAAGGAACTGTGGCAAACTCACCCGCGGAGATCCAATCGCTAGATATCTACCACTCGGACTGACATCCATCTTTATGAAATAGGCTCCTTCGCCTCTACCGGCGTTGTGTCCATAAAATATGCTGACTAGAGAATAGACCAAAGAAAAGTATCATGAGTGGTCCGCGCCCACGGTACCAGGAGCTGAGAGTATCATGGGGATCCTGTGGAATCTTTCATCGTGGATTGTGTACCTGGTTTGTCGGCATATGTGTTTATGTCGAAGGAATAAATAATGTTGTCGCTACACTGCGCGTACAGAGATCTTCTCTCGGGACAGACGGTGGCATATGTGAAACCGCTGCTCTCCGGGATATCTGCGCTGAGTTTCAGGAAAGGTCTCGGCTCACGCATGAGACTGTAGCTCCGACGGAGATCCCAAACCAAGATGAATCCACCACCGCTGGCTGCAATGAAAAGCAATGAACGCTATCGCTCGCTGATTCGCCGCGGCCTGGGCATGGAGCGTGGATCTTTGGGGTATCGGTTCGTCAATCGTTAGGTGGCAGGAAATAAACTTGGCGGATATCCGGGAGTTCATCTACCTGTGGATATTAGGTGGTGGTTTCCTCGGAAATTCAGACTAGTCACTCCATAGCTCCCGTTCGATTTGTTGCGTTTGTCGCCTTTCTTCGGATGCGCCCCGTGCACTCTGAGAACCTGATCGTCAACTCTCTTGTCATAAACTATTATGTCGCCGTCTCGGCCTCCGGACGCGAAAACGTCTGTGAATGCAGGAAACGATAAGAAGTACGGGAATTTCGGCTGCGGGTGACTTACGCTTCAATTTATAAGCAAGACATTCGCTCGATTCCGAGTCGGACTCACCTTCTTCCGTAGCTTTCTTGGCAACCACCTTCACGCTGCCTTTGTGTAATCTCCCTTTTGACCAGATTTCCTGCCCTCTATCCACATCAACGATGCCGACCTGATTGTGCGGTGGGCACGTCCCGCTCAGCAGGTGATTCGGGGACAGCCAGCTGATATCAGAAATCATCGACGGATGCGGCGTCATAGCTGAAAAATTTGAGAAGCGTCAACTCGCTGGAGGAGGCGCAGGACGGCTGACCACGAGCCCAGCAGAGATAGGAGGGCCCTCGGCCCAGAGCATATTGCGAAAACTCACTTTTCTTGGGTTGGAACTTGTTGTGAATGGTATCGATGATTTCGATGACCCCGTCTTCGTTGGCTATCGCGAGAATGTGATCGTGATGGGCTCGGAACCGACAAACGATGGGGTGTGCGTCACTGTCCTGATGGCATAATAATTTGAACGGATAATCATGAAGGGTCGTATCCGACGGTGAAATTGTAGCAAGTGTCATCTCACTGCCGGAGAGCGGAACCCCTTACCTGTAACATGTCCGACGGTATTCGAACCTTGTCAATGCCCTTCAAGAGTTCCACCGGGGGTCGCCATTTTCCTGCAAACAGGGATTTATGTTCCAGCGTCGAGACAGCTTTTTTCCCCTAGGATGGAAGTATTTTCCGTCGGAGGGAAACGCGAGAGTAATCATGTCTCTAGGCAGTCGAATGGGGAACTCACCGAGATTGAATCCGCGGGATTTCTGGTACTCGACGTATGACAAACCATTGAACTTTTGCCCGACTTTACGTCGGCGGAGTGATCTCAGATCATCCATATCCTGAACCGTGTTGAAGTTACGCTTAGTTCAGGGAGGAATGATCGCGAGGAGCTAACCAGCACAGAATTACATCCATAGAGGACCCCGTCGGCGCGATTCAGATGGCGCTTCTTGTGGCATAGTGATTCCATAGAAGCTTCAGAAACGAATAGCGAAGGAACTGGACCTCACCGGGAGACTCTCTTAGCGTAAGAATTGACTGCTGGGCTATGTGCCAAGACCATGAACGAGCACAAATGGGGCGATAGAGGGCAGACATCTATTGAAAACCTGATGCAGGAGGAGAGACAGATCTTCACTGGAAAAGATGAGCTCTGTCGAGGGCTCGGCTACCAGGACAGAGCATTTCTATCGGGTCTCTCAAAGCACAGGGGACCCGAAGCGGGTCGGAGCCGCTTCCCTCTGAAACAATCCAACAGATGCATTTCGACGCTTTACCAGTGCTGTTTGAGTGCCAGGTTTCGTCTCATTGGCTGAATAAGGGGTGGCCCACGGGAATTTTTCATTTGTCGGAGAACTTGTGTCGATTCCGATTCGCGGTAGAATATGGCTGGGTAGTGGTACTGATAATGATCACGAGGCGACACAGCTCCGGCGGGTACTTCTTCTGGTCATAATTCATAATTCGGGACCGAAATTTCCCCATTCGAAGATCGAGCCGAAGAATATCGAATCTCCTGTTTAAATCTCTCGAACATCGCTCGAGCGAGCTTGAGTTCCCACTAAGAAGCGAACTTGATTTCAGGCCTCAAACTTTGCCCCAAATTATCAAAGAATAAGAAGCCGGCAGACCTAATAGTCGATGACTTCGATCCTCAATGCTCAATCTCAATCCATATCAATCGCGGCGGATTACGCACCCTATGAAATCCCAAAATCGCCCCATAGGGAAAGCAGCCTCGTAAACAGCCCAATTCTCAATTCATGTGATGTTTCATACTAGGAGCGAGTAACGATTCTGCCGGTATGGAAATCTTCAGTCCAGACTCCAGACGGTGTGGAGAACGGTCTGGATATGAGAGATCGAGCCCCGTCGCTCGCTCTTGGTGTTTACAAATACGCGGAAGCCGCACAGCTGATTTCTCCTCAGGGCTGTCAACGAGACGGTGGATCTGCTCGGGTGGATCGATCATGGATTATGGATCGAAATTGGAATCGGAGATACGCTCAGATTTTATCCGAAGTTTGGCCTCGGCCATGTATTATTTCCCTTTGAAAATTCGGCGAAGCTCCCGAAGCTGATACCGGAAGGCGCAAAGAAGTGCCAGCCGAGTGAACCCAGACACGAACCACAAGCATCATCCAGCTCGCCACCGAATTCCGTTATACACTGGCATACGGTAATCGTACGAAGATTGTAGCATAAATTTAAGAGTCAACCGCGGGACATCACGATTCGCTCAGGGTCTTCGCTGATGAAAGATTCATCTTTCGATCTTCCCAAGGGTGGCCTAGACTCGCCCGGCATTGCCTTAGACCGAGGTTCAATGCTTCGAATCTGCCAGCTAGCCGCGGCGCAGTCTCACGAACTCCGCTAGCCTATACACTGCACATCGTAGTACACACCGATGCCGAAACAATTTTTTTGAGGTTCATTTTGATTACTGATCGACGACAGGTGCGCAACCCGGCCTGCCGAGGGTCAAAAGGTGAAATAAATACAAGCGCGATAATTGATCACTGATCAAAATACAGTGAAACCTCGAATAACGAACGCCTCGATTAGCGAACTCTTCGAATAACGGACCTTTTTAGCTGGCAAAATGTGTTTCGAATAACGAACAATGTTTCGGATAGCGAACGATTCCTCATGTCCTTGGGTCGGGTGATATCCTCCTCGGCCGGTCATCTCTCTATATTCAAATAATGCATTCTCGACCAGAGATGGAGGAGTTTCGAATCAGCTCGATTCATTCAAACATCAGGAAATGGCGATTCTCCTTCACTGGGTGGAATTCAAGCTTCTTCTGTCGGAATCATGACCGCGCACGGAACCGAGCGAACGAGTTCTAGATGATGCTGGGTCGGAAGGTGGATCGCAACCTGATCCAAACTCTTGAGGCTGCCCTGGCCTACATACAGAGCCAGAGTACGCTGATTGAGTTCTTTGAGAGGATTTGATGAAGCTTCTGATTCAGATGTATCATATGATCATTGATCATTATAGATTCACGTCATGCTCGTAGTCGGGAAGGGCTACATTGATTTATTCACTGCGAATCGTCTTCTATGACCCATCCGGAGCGATTCTCTCAGAAAGCATTGAGTCCTTCAACACGGGATCCTATGGAAAACTGCGTTTCGGATAAGGAACCGCCGCGTTGAACGAACCAAGTTCGCTATTCGAGGGTTCACTGTATCTTGTTCCACCCGAGGGCTGGCTCATACTCGAAGAGCATGGTGCAGATCTGCCCAGCTAGGTATGTACCGATTCCCGACGCTGACGAGAACGTTGAAATCCTACGAGAAGATCGTTCAGCGGGAACCGCCCCGGGTCGCGGGAGACTTCGGCTCCATGGTGATACGTAGTTATAATTCAAGCAGTCCTCGCTGTACGATTGTTAATTATTTTTCGAGTTTAAAGAGGGAGGCGTGGCGCGAACGCAGACCCCCCACTATCAAAAACTACATGCCCCATCTTTCCCAGTTTGGGAGAGCGGAAAGTCTCAACCCCGTCGAAGTGCAATGGCAATGACGAGGCCTCCTCCTGGGGTCTCCACCCCAATGATCATGGAGGTCCCGGCATGCGGTGCTAGGATAGCAGTGTACTTGCTGCGACTCCGAGCCTGCCACGTTCGATGAGCTCATCACCGCGGAATACCGAGCGAAGAAACAGGAGAGTATAATGAGGAGACAAAAGACTCTTCCTATCGGGTTCTCCGCACATGGTCTAAAATCCTTTTACATTCGTATGTTTGTTCTAATTGTCTCTTATCACCGGAACGCTTGCCGCAGGACCACCATGGAGGCTTCCACCGTCGAGCTTCGGATTGCTTCGGTTCATCGAGCCAGACGGATCGGGGTTCGGAGTCCGATGGTCTCAACCGACCGGAAAAACTCTTTTCGGGACTTGATTCTAGTGAATAAGGACCGGGGATGAATCAATAGAAAACGGGGAAACGAGAAAGTCCATGTAACGGAAAAACTCCGATTACCACAGAGCTCTTTCGGTTCCACAAGGCTCATCGAGGAAAGTAGGCTTTAGGCACCCGATACCTGGACAGGTAGTCGCGGGCCTCGGAGAAGAGCCTCGCGGACCCTTTGTGGCCCGCCCTAACCACGTGTTTTACACCCCTGCGTCTACGCTCTCGCACCGACAGATTTAATTTTAGTGCAATTTGACCCCGCGTGTTTCTTGTACGCACTCTCGATCGACTTGACATACGTGCAATTATACGGTATCTCAAGCATGCGTCGAAGCGAACAAAAAGTACCGCGTGCAACCGCACAAGTCGAACTTCGGATCTGTGGTTGGCGCTAGGCTGCCCGAAGAACCGCATATTTTGAGAACCGCGGTTCCGGAACCGCGGTTTTCGACCCTGATTGATAATTGCGAATGAACCGTGAAGAACGCCCCTCCTACCTTCTGTGCTATATCATCTCTTCTTTCAGTGAATGCGAGGAGTCTTTTACAAGCAGAGGATTTTTATTTTATGGTCATGTGCACAAAAAGACGTGTTTTGCTAGTCTGACTGGATTCACAAGGCTCCGTACTCGAAAGCTTTTCGCAGTAGAGAGATGCTATCGAGCGTCTTCGAGTTTAGCCTCGCGCGATGTTCACCTAATAACAAGCGAACTATGCTGAAATCGCGCTCAGGTTGCACGGAAGTGGGCGGCACAGCCAACAGAGTCTGATGGCACCGTGTAAGAAGTAGGCCTTCCAGCGGAACGGATCCGCAAGATCCGCAGGATTTTCGCGGATCTTGATCCGCAAGTTCTGCAGGATTTTTACGGATCCGGATCCCCAGGATCCGCACGAGTTTGTTCCACGAATTCCACGAATGTTGGGAAAAACCATCGTACATACATAGTAGTCGGGAGGAAAACGACCATTAATTGCGTTCCTCCGATGGAGGAAGCAGGTAACGCGAGTCATGAACTTCCAATTTCGGTTCGGAACCGAAACTCAAAACTGAGGGCTTGTTCCCTCACTCATTTCCCGCCGACATGACGGCTCTGCACGTCGGACTTCGCTGCGACCTATGACCGGGATCCGGTCGATAGCAGCTGAGAGACAACTGTTCATACCTCAAGCGCAAGCGTTCTTATTCAGCAGTTCGGGATCTGGACTGCTCCCCGCGAACAAGTTTGTAGAGCCTTTAATTATCGAGAATTATCGAGAACAAACTGCAGCCCTCCTGCCGGGACGAGCCCGTACATCCATTTTTGTTGTTCTCCTTGTATTTAGACGGAGCATTCCTCATCATGGAGGGCTTTAAGGTAGCGACGGATCAGAAGAGCTGGGTTTGGAAACATTTCATGAAGATTTCCAGAAGCGGAAAATGTTGTGACCGGATAAAGCGGTACCTAGACGAAGAGAAGGACGGCAACGTACATCTCTTCATCATGTCTGGTTCCAAGGACGTTAGAGATGGCGTGCCGAAGGGACTAAATGGATCAAACATCGCTAAAGCGATAGCCACGGCGTGCGTAGCATTGAGACGGTACTCCGATAGAGTGCTCAGTATCTCGATGTGTTCCATGGTTGAACACCGCGAATGCCAAAACATCGCCGAGGTCAATAGCTTTCTCAAGGATAGCGTTGAGGTTATTCGAGGGGAAATTGACTTCATTGACCTTCGGAACATTTCGAAAGATCGTAGGTTCCTTGACGTGGAGAGTGGGAAAGATGATCCATACAAGGCCACGTATACCCGTGAAGGCTATACTGTAATCAAAAACATTCTCCTCGAGCGCATCACGGCCAGGTTGAATCCTGATGATGACACTCGCAAGTTG